CAGCTCAGCTCTGTAATTACGTATTTATTTTAGTATGTGTTGCTTTTAAGGTCTGCTTCTCTCTCTATACCACCGGCCACATCCAGCCTGCTACATGCTTTTGCGGAGCCCGTGAGCTAAGAATGGTTTTTACATTTTTAAATGGTTGAACAATTCAGAAGAAAAGTAATAATTCATGATACATGAAAAGTATAAGAAATTCAAATGCCAGTGTCCATAAAGTATTAAAAAGATAAAATGTTATTGTTACACAGCCACGCTCCTCCATGTGTGTGTAATCTGTGGCCCTGATGTGCTAGGCAGAGTTGAGAAGTGTGGCAGAGGCCATATGCCCCACAGAACCTGAAAGGTTTACTCCCTGGCCCTTTATAGAAACAGCTGGCTGGTCCCTGGGTGACAGCAGTTGCTTCATGAATATAGCCATGGGTTCATGAGTGCCCAGCACTAAGCCAATACGTGGTAGCATTCAATGACTGTTTGTTGAGTGACTGAATAATGGGATAATTAAATGTTTGAGTTGTGGCTGCGCCCACGTTGCCCACCCTCATCAGAGTTCTGGGTTCTGGATCACTCTAACACCCAATATGGTGGCAGTTCTCACACTTTTTGGCCTCACTTCCTTTTATACCCCTAAAAAAAAATTCTGAGGATCCCGAAAAGCTTTTGCGTGTTTGAATTTTATCTGTTGATACTGTGTTAGAAATTAAAACTCAGAAATTTGAAAAACATTTATTCATTTGCAAATAGCAATAAGAAATCCATTCTTGCTAACATAAATAACACTTTTATGAAAAATAACAATTTTCCCAAAAACAATTTAATGAAAAGAATGCATTATTTATAAATTTTGCAAATATTTTTAATGCCTGGCCTAATAGAAGGCAGCTGCTCCTCATTAGTCCTTCTGCATTTAATCTATTGCAAATTTCTTATTTTGTTTGAAGTAGATGAAGGAAATCCAGTCCCACAGATAGATAGTAAGAAAATGGAGAGGAATTTTAATACCATTTTTAGAGAATAGTGGGTATTTTGCTTTGATACTATGCCAAAGTTCAATAATTGGTAGTTTCTTAAAGGTTAATCGCAGCATGGAATCTGAAATCCTATCAATGAGTATTTCATTCTCCGTTGCATTAAAATCCATTGAGTGGGTATTTTACTGTTTGGAATATAATTATTGAAGAGGTCACAGATGCAATGTAGTTAAATTCTTTCTTTTCCATCCAGGAAATTCCCAGAATCCTTGGGGAAATGAGAGGTGTTTCTGGATATTGTTCATCCAGACTGAGCAGGATGTGAAAAGGGATCTGAAGTTGTACACACACGCTACTCCATAATTAGTCACTGGGCCTTGTTACAGTTTTTATCTAATACAGATACCCAAACAATCTCAGCATGATGAATTTCTCCACCCCCGTCTTGTGTAACTTCTCTTTTAAAATGAAATCATCAGGCTTCTTTCTTTCTTTTAAATTGATGTGAAACACCCTTAAACTGAAATGAGGATAGCATTGGTGTTAACTTCTCAGCTTCAGGGCACAAGATGATTGGCTGAGGGGGAAGTTAGAAAAAGATACTTCTCTTCTCCAACATGGCATAATACTCCATGAACAGCTAGGAGGAGCATTAATGTTAATTTGTAAAATTTTTATATGGAACTGGTAGTAAAACATTACATGATTTAAAAATACAGCCACACTCATAAGCTGTAATGCATTCAGAATTGTTTTCTTGATTTTGAGATGTTAATCCTGTGGGATTACGCTGTCAGCTGTTGCTGTCTTATGTTTTAAACAGTATAGCCTGAGAGATCAAGAATAGTAAATATGTACAGAGAAAACAAAAACAGAAAAGATGTCGACAATAGTTACCTCTGGGCGATGGGATTATGGGTCTTTGTTTCTTCCTTGTCCTTTTTAAACATTAATTACCGCAAACATTTATTGATATTTTTTTTGATTATTTATTATGTGTCATGTATTGAGTACAGTGCTTAGAGCAGAGAACAAAGCTGATTCAGCCCTTGCTCAGTTAGAACTTCCAATTAGGTCAGTTTTCATATTTCCCATAGTAAGTGTGAAATCTTTCTATAATGAGATAAATATAGTAAATATCATGAACCAATATGAATGGGAAAAAATAGAGAGGCTCTTTTCTTCTGTGTTTCTGGTGGGGGAGAAGGTTGTGGTTCCCGTGTAAGTACAGTTTGGAGACTGTTTCATGATTCAGTTAACCTAAATTGCACCCAGAAAGTCTCTGCAGCGGGCTTGATGCCGAATGAATTCAAGCCCTAATGCTGGCAGATGGTAGGAGCTATCTTGTCGTGGTGCTGTGAAGATGCTCTCTCCAAAGGACCTCAAACAGAACTTGGAGCCATGAAAAGGCAGAATGTAGCACTCAGACGGGTCCTCCGCTACTTTGTTACTAGTGAAGGTTGGTGACTCTCAGAGGAGGCAGATCAAAGCCAAGTGACAGTAGAGCTTGGAAATTGGCTTGTGTCCATGGCCTGAACAGCTTGGAAAGTGCACCTCTCTTCTGGGCTCATACGGAAACATCTGGAAGTAACCTTGAAACTTGATGAAAGAAAATCCTTTCCAAGAGGACTCTTATTTCTCTTGTGTGAATAATTTTTGACTACTAAAAGATAATGGAATTATTACAGGATTGGGGTTTATGTCTGATCCCTGATAGGAAAATGGAAAAATGGTGGCTGCTATCATGAGCAGTTCTTCAAATGAATCATTTTTAACAATGAGTCTCCTTTCTATTTTTATACACATAAAATTCCCTAGGTATTGCAGAGACATTTGACTCTATAGGAAGTCTCAGTATGGCCAAGTGTGACATAATATATTTGTGAGAGAAAAATCATGACTAATTGTAAAAGCAGCTCACTGTCTAGTCAGACAGAAAGGAGCTGGAAGCCACGACCAGCTCTTTTGCAAAAACTTTCTGTGAAACTGTGACTCCTGAGCTGGCCTTCCCTAAAGTTTCTACTCTTAAGAAATTATGGAGCTCTGTGGAAAGTAAAGATCAAGTGGAGGCTGAGCAGATGCAGAGAAGGCACTGAATGTAACGGACTCTCTAGAACAACTGCATGAGGTTAGATTTTAATGATAGGATTCATTTATCTAAATGAAAGAGGTTGGAGGGGAGGGCATAGTGTTTAGAATCTTGCTTCTGCTTAAGTTGAGCACGGCCAGAAAAATGAGGGGTCACACCTCAAAGGCTGAAAGAGATATTGAAGACACACATTGTGGGCTTCATTATCCCCATTGGGGGTGACAGGACTTACAGGGGAGATAGCTGGAAGGATCTTTATGATTTCTTATTAAGTGAGGCAAATCTGATGAGGAGAGCTGGGATACTGTACACCAACTGGTAGTGTTGATTACCTGAAACTTGACCTGAATAAAAGGCCAAGCATCTGTGTGTGTGTGTGTGCGTATGTGTGTGTGTGAGTGCATGCACCTGTGTGGGCATGCAGAGAGGTGCTCCAAGGATGGCTACCAAAGTCTAATTTTCATGCATTAGCAATAAAAAGAAAATGTAAAATAGTAATACAATAATGCATTATTTTTCTGGATTTGTGAATCCACAAGGAATTATGTAGATAAAGGGGTATTGTTTGGGGTATTTTGCATAACTTTTTAGGGAAGAGCTACATGCATAATTATTCTCCCGTGTCAACTAAAATAGCTTTCCCAATGGACCCTGGATCAACTTCAAGATAGCATTTATTAGCACTGTATACAATAGCTAAGATATGGAAACAACCCAAGTGTCCATCAGTAAATGAGTGGATAAAAAAGCTGTGGTACATGTACACAATGGAATACTATGCAGCTGTAAGAAAGAAAGATCTCTTATTCTTTGAGATGACATGGAGGGACCTGGAGAGTATTATGCTAATCAAAACAAGCCAAGCAGAGAAAGACAAATATCACATGATCTCACATATTTGTGGAGTATAATGAACTAAACAAACTGATAAACAAAATTGACTCAGAGACATAGAGGTAGGGTACAGACTGACAAACCTCAGAAGAGAGGGTGTTTGGGGGGAGAGGTAAACCACAGAACTTATATGCATGTACGCATAGCCAATGGACATAGACAACAAAGCTGGGGATGGGGCGGGGGGGATCGGGAGGAGAGTGTCAATGGGGGATAAAGGAGAAACGTATAACAAAAACAAATTAAAAATAATTAAAAACAAGATAGCATTTATTGGGCTGTTTCATTCTTAGCTCAAAAATCTGTTGGACATGGTGACTCATATTATACAGCGTGGCCTCTTGCTTTCATATCTTCCCTCCCTATAGTCTTTTCTCCCCTAATAGTTCAACTTTTAAAACATGTCAGAACTTTTCTCAAATGTGTCCAGTGGTTTCCCATCTCATTTATAATGAAATCAGGAATCATCACAGTGACCGATGAGGCCCTACCTGGCTCCACGTTCCCATTGACCCCCCCTGTCCCCGCTCTGCTCCCACCAACAGGCCTGTCTGCTGTCCCTCAGACCCATCTGCACGTTCCCTCTGAGCCCTCCCCGTGTCTGCCTGGCTTACTCCTCACTGCTTTCAGGTGTCTGCTCAAATGTTCCTCTGTCCAAAAGGTCGTCCCTGACTGGGCTTTCTAAAATATCATCACCCTTCCCCCCGCTGTCACTCTGTCCCCTTGCGCCCAGTTTCAGATTTCTCCTTAGCAGTTATCACCACCCGACATACATGTATATCTATGTGTATGTGTATGTGTATATGTATATGTATGTGTATGTGTATATGTATGTATAGAATATATTTTATAGTGACTGTCCCCTTCTAAAATTTTAATCTTTAAATGTAAACACTAGAATGAAATTGTATCTCTTTTGTCATTGCTGTGGCCATACAGCCCAGGACAGTACTGGACCCAGAGTCGGCACTCAATAAATATGTGTTGAAGAATGAATTCCTGCCTCATTTCTCCATGTTGTGTTCTGACATGTTTCCTTGCAGAGAAGTTGTGACGTTCAACCACTTCCTCGAAGCCGCAGCCGAGAAGGAGGTTCAAGGGAAAGCTCGGCTGCAGGACTTCATCGAGAGTCTGTTGCAGCGGGTGGAACTGGCGGAAAAGCAGTTGGAGTACTATCAGAGCCAGCAGGCCGCCGGCCTCTGCCGCGACGCCAGGGAGCACGTGGTAAGCCGCACGGGTCCAGCCAAAACGGGAGGTCCTTGGGTTTGGTGAGGTCGGGTCACGGACAAAGGAACAGGGAGCTGGGCAGTGCCCTGTAGGGACTCCCTAGGCATCGTCTGAGAGCTCTGTCCTGGCCACGCCTGTGTTATGGAAGCGATAGAGGGGAACCCAGGACACCTGGAAGCAAGCTTAATCCTGGAGGCACAGTCTCCAGTTCGTCACCCTCCCACTCCACGCCAGGCTGCATTGGTAGAAATATATTTGCATTTGTAGAATAACAGAGTTTGAAGTATCCAAAGACATCATCTGTCCCAGCCTTGGTGTTCAGGTAGATCAGAAGGTAGTGCTGTGTTGGAGTCCTTCAAGGGAATCTTCATGGTTAAACATTCATGAAAGCTGTGGCCCTTCTCAGCCAAGCAAGATTTAACCACATACTTTATTCTCCTTCATAGGGAGGAAAACACGATTCAACAGTCTCTATAGGTTAAGCATTCTTTTCTTTTAAAAATTTTTTTCTTTATTGATTTTAGAGAGAGAAGGGAAGGGAGAGGGAGAGAGGGATAGAAACATCGATGAGAGAGAACATCGATTGGCCTCCTGCATGCCCCTCACTGGGGATCAGGCCCACAACCTGGGAATGTGCCCTGACTGGGAATCGAACTGCTGACCTCTTGGTGCATGGGTCGATGCTCAAGCACTGAGCCACACCGGCCAGGCAGGTTAAACATTCTTTAAGTATACAGTCAAACCTCGGTTCTCGAACGTCTCCCATCTTGAGCAATTCTGTTTTCAACCAAGTTGTTCACGGAAAATGTCTCAGCTGTCGAACAGAACTTTGTTGGTGCCTGTGCCATCAGTCATGCGTCTCTCAGGCGACAAAGGAGAGAATGCGTGAGTGTGAGTCAGGTTACCGCTAAACTAGCGTTAACATCTCAGGAAATTGTGCTGTGAATATTTTCATGGCTTTTTTATTTTTATTTTTTGCTTTTGTTGCTGCTTATTATTATTGAATACGTACAGTAACTTACCAGCGGCTCTCAGAAGGTTAGTGATAGCAAAGTGAAAAGGAAAGTTGTGAGAACAAGAATAGAGCTTAGATATGTATCGTATGTGTATAAGAAAAGTTAAAATAGGGAGTCATTTGGGGGTCTGTAACAGATTAATTGAATTTATATTATTTCTAATGGGAAAAAGTGATTCAGTTTCGAACAAATCGCTTCTCAATCAGCCTTCTGGAATGAAGTACGTTCAAGAACCAAGGTTTCGCTGTATTTTCAAAGAGACCGTAAAATTCACAGGTAATAGTCTCTTATGGAATAAACTTTTGTACAATTTTACATATAGTTTCAGGGGCTTAAGAAACCACCAGAGTCCAGATGAGAACCCAGATGAAGGTCCAGAGTCTCATGGGTCCCCGATCTCTTTGGAGGGTGACAGTAGGTGCAAATAACCAGACTCTTGGTGAGGGGTTGGGTGGTGATTTTACCCTCTGTAAAATTTCCTTGGTGGTATTGACGACAAAGCCAAGGAAAGGATTTTTGAAACCCTAAAGTGGTTATTTATAACATTTGTATTATTTACTGAATTTTATTTATGCCCACCCCCTTCCCAGAAGATTTTTAAATGATCTTTTACTTTCCCCCACAAATACGAACATATATGTGTACATGTATATTTATATTTATATGGAAATAGGAAACATGCTAATCAAAAGTTTAGTAAGACGACTATTGGTTGATTAAAAAGTTTCGTCGGAGCATTCTGGAAGCCAAGGTTAAAAGGAAACATGGTTAAGGAATAAAATGAAGGGCAGATGGGCGGAGGAGAGACAGACGACAGGAAGGAAGGAGAGAGGGGGAAGGTAAGAAATGGACGCGTCCCCGTGCTTGCTGCAGCAACACGCGCTCAGCCTGAGAGCAGTACACGCAGGAGTAAAGCTCCAGGACGGGCCGGTCAGAAACAAAGGGGACTGGGAGGAAGTACATTGTTGTAGCTGTGAGGTTTCTGTAGTCAGAGCAGTTTCCGCTACAAGACATACTTACTATTTTCTGAGTGGGTGGGTGTCTATGGTTTTCCACCTGTAACTCTCCTGAGAAAGAACCTTCCCTCCTTTTTTGATTCCACTTCACCCTCTTGGGAAACCGTGAGAGTGTCCAGTCGTAACTAACTGGCTGGAGGGACACTGAGTCTTTCCCTGCCCTGTCCTTCCACATTGCCCTGTTTCAGGAGAGGTCGTGGCATGAGGCCACAGCTCACACGTGAGGAAAAGGCCTGCCGTCCAGATCTCTCTTTCCCTCCTTCTGACAGGGCTGGACAGTTTGTCTTCTGGGTTTCTAATTCTTCTAGGAAGTGCAGCAGTTAGACTAGATGCTCTGTAAGATCTTCGGCCTCCTACATTCTCTGCTCATCACCTAACTCCAGTGGTTAGGAATTCCAGAATTGAAATGTGGCATTAATATTTCAGTCTGTAGGCTTCTAAGTAACCCAGAGCTAAGAAATGTGTAAAATTCTACTACACTAAGCCAGGAGGATGTTCAAGAGAAAACAATGGAAGGTAAGGAGGAAGAAAGGAAGCCCATTAGTTCTCTCTGTCATTTATATTTCTGTGCTCACTTCCTCTGCTTAGTTTATTTTTCTAACTTGAAAATTGAACACCTTTTATACGACATAACCAGTCATTATTTCTTGTCATGCTGTACCATGTGATGAAAAATTGAACATCATTTCTGTTCTCTAGTTAGATGTGTATCTATAATATTACATGTATATGTGCATGTACACACAACATATATACATGTACACACATACAACACATGTACACATGCATGCATACATACATATAAGCAAATATGGTAGAAATTGATAAATATTTATGTTCATGCCCTCTGTGTCCCAAACACGAGTGACATCATCTGCCTTCATCAGACTTGATTTACCCGGGGAAGACTTGACTAATTCAAATAAGGAGCAGATCAGAGCAGGGAGTTTGGATGTGGGGGCTGTTCGTGAGGAAGCGTGGTCGGGCTTTCGGGAGGTGAACTCTGAGTAGTGGAGGCAGCGTACGTCTCTCTGAGAAGATCAAGAAGCGTTTGGTTTCTCAGAGGCTTCCCTGTTTTCATGCAGACTCCTCTAACTCTGCTTTGGACCCCAGAGTTACCACAGTATGAGACAGTCTGCAGACCCTGAGGACGTCTCCTTTTTACTTCATCATAGTAAGACACACTCACTGATGGAAGGGAAGTGCTGAGCCTGGCCTCCGGGGTGTCTGTGGCTCTAGATACAGAGGAACTCGGATGCTTTTAGCCGGAGAAGCCTTGGATCATGTCTTCATTGTCCTCTGGCCCTGCTCAGTGAAGGTCCAGAGCACTGAGGAGAGCTCCCGGCCCTGGTGTGCCCCGGGACGGAGCAGAGACCTGACCTACTCCCCTACACAGCAGCCCCTTCCTCCAGGACAGTTGGGAACACCGTGCCCAGCTGGCCTGGCTCTCACCATCTCCGCTAAGGCTACACTACAGAAGGTGTTAGTCCGTGTCCCCCTCTTCCACCCACCCCAGGTCCCTTCCTCTCCCCTGCCTCTTTTTCTCATGCCCTGCAGATAGCGGTGAGATTCTAGGTTGGTGTATACATCTTTCTAAGGTGTCTTCTAGCTTCAAGATTCTGTGCCTTTTCTGAAAGAATGTTTTGGCATCTGCATCTTTCCCTTAATCCCCTTGAGCATTTTTGTTCTTTTTCACCTGGCTGGTTTCTAAAAGTGTATTGTGCTTACTCAGGTGTTTTGTCTTTAGGCTCTGAAAAATGCTGTCGAGTTATTCACAAAGTGACCCAGTATCCCATCTGCCAAAGTCACGGACAGAACTCACACGGAAGGTCACGGAACAGCTTGGATAATCTTATTTTAAGCATTACGTGTATTGCCTGCAGGTTACTAAATTAGGACTAGCGGTAATTCATTTAGCACTTACTTATTGGGGGCGCAGCGCTTACTGAGTGCCGAGGAAATGGCTGTGAACGACACAGAAGAGGTCCCTGCTCTTGGGGAGGAGGGGCTCCCAATAAACAGGTAAACAAATAGCAAAAATAATTGTGTATAGTGATAACTACTATCAAGAAAAAAGTAAGTTGATATATTTGAGATGTCAGGTTCAGTGTAATGCTTTGAGGAGAAGCCTTGCTAAAGAGGCAACTTTGCACTGTGACCTGAATAACAGAAGGAGCCAGCTGTGGCGTTTGGAAGTGGGATGTTCTAGGCAAAGGAGTAGGAATTGTAAGTGCCTTTGGAGGGAGCGAGCTTGGCACACTGGAGTGAGGAGATGGAGAGTTGGGAGGGATCCAGACCTTGCCGGGGCTTGTAGGTCACACAAGGAGTCCCAGTCTATTCCAGAGCACAGAGGGAAGCCACTGGAAGGTTTGAAGCAGCAGGTGACCTGTGCGTTAGCAGAAGCAGTCTGGTGCTCTGTGGGGAATTGTCTAGGCTGTTAACGGGGGGTGGGGAGGCAGGGAGAGGAGGTGGCAGTTTGGATGGAGTGGAGGTAAAGAGAAGTGATGGGGATAGAATATGTTCTGGGATGGAGTTGACCAGACCACTTGACCTTGCTGAAGGATTAGATTAGGTGGGCAAGAGAAAAGAGGAATCAAGAATGAATCTAAGATTTTGGCCTGAACAATTGAGTATACTGTGCTGCTATTCACCCAAAGGGGAAGTTGAGGGGGGCTGGGTGTCTGGTTTCCCCAAGTCTACAAGTCTTCTGACTGTCAACCTGAGACACCATGTTTGTGTTTTTGAAATAGTTAGACTTACTCTCAGTGCAAGGCTGTGTATATTTTTCCAACCTGGAGTCTCAGTCAAGGACACTCTTGATCCCTACCTTCACACATACCCGTCTCTATACACAAGGAAGACAGAGTGGACTTGGAGAAGTGGAGGTAGGTGGATAGGCTAAGTGGGAGGAGCCTTTCCATCTGCCTGAGGCTCTGGGGGCCGAAGGAACAGTGGCTTCCTATGTACATGGGGAGGAGAGCAGATGAAATTCTATGGTGTGTGATAACCAGTCCCACCTCCACCCCAAACCTCAGAATCTGTGGGATCACTGGAGAAATTCCGATCCAGCCATGGATTCCACTGAACTTTTTGTGTCTACACTCTCTTGCTCTTATACTTACATATACAAACACACCCTTTTTAGAGAGGCTGTGCAGAGTGAAGACTCATGGTTGAAGTCCAGCCCTAACACTGATAAAGTGTTGAGGTTTCGAACCAGCTACTTAACTTTCCTGCTGTAGTTTCCATATCTGTAAAATGAGGATTATAAGGGTTACCTGTTAGGGTTGTTTTGAGGGTTGTGTTGTTACATGGTGAGCATTTTACCCAGTATGTGATGCAGAGACACACACAATTTATGATACCTTTATGTGAGGTTTGTAGCTCATCTTTACCTGTCTTTATTTATGCATTTTCTTTTCTGTAATACACAGTAAATTATTTCTATTGGCTGAGGTCCCAGCAGATTTCATTAGTGACATCCGTAGGTACTAAGGTTGTAGTTCCGAAAATATTTTGGATGTCAGGGACTCCTCTGAACATTGGAAAACACTGTTGGCCTTTTCCCCAGAAAGGGAAGCAGGGAAGCTTATACACATGTACACGCTTTCTCTCTCTCTGGCCTTTTCCCCAGAAAGGGAAGCAGGGAAGCTTATACACATGTACACGCTTTCTCTCTCTCATAAAAGTCCATAGGGCATTGCATATACATATAAGCAATAAGACAGCAAACTATGTATACATACAGCAAAGTGAAAAAAAATTTTAAGGGAGGAATTCAAAGGGAGAAAGACACTGTACATTTTCTTTTTATAATTTACACATGTACTAGAATCTATGAAAGGTGCCCAGCTGAGAAACCCTGACTGCTGGTCATGGGACAGTAGGGCACGGAGGTAGATATGCTGATGCTTTTGGGGTTCCTGGAAGCTGCCAACCAGTGTTCAGCTGAGCCACCTGCCTCATGCAAGGAAGGTGCCCTTTTCTGTTCATATTTACTAATCTCATGCCAAAGCCAGCCAGCGTGAACAGGGTCAACAACAATGCTGACTGACTTCTGACTGTCAAAGGCAGAAGGTAAGCCTTCTTGGGGACATGACCCACAGAAGTGAGGAAAACTTGTTTCTGATTTGTTCGAGCTGCAGATGGAAGAATCAAGGAAGTGACTGCCTTTTTTTTCTTTTTAATTTTTTTCTTTATTGATTTTAGAGAGAGAGGAAGGGAGAGGGAGAGAGATAGAAACATCGATGAGAGAGAACATCGATTGGCTGCCTCCTGCATGCTCCCCACTGGGGATCGGGCCCACAACCTGGGCATGTGCCCTGACCGGGAATCAAACTGGCAACTTCTTGGTGCATAGGTCGAAGCTCAACCCCTGAGCCACACCAGCTGGGCAGGAATTGACTGTCTTATGCTGAACTTTCTCAGGTTATTTGAGTCCAGCAGGGACACGGGTCTTGGCCCCACTGGGCCGCAACACCACGATGGCCCTTGTTCTGCATTTTCTTTGTCATCCTCGTCTGCTGTTTGTCTGTCTGCCACTGCTTTTGATAAAGGAGATCAGGAACAGAAGGTTTGCAGTACACTGGGTTGGCCTGTAGAATGGACAGTGACATCTGGATCACAAAGTGATAATTACCCATTTATTCTGGAAATGATATTGTTCACTCGGCCACAAAAGTACATGAAGATATTTTAATGGGAGTGGAAAATAATTTCATTGATAGATGGCCTTCGGGACAACTGTGGAGTTGGTGGGTCTTCATATGTTCTCATTTTAGAAATGATGTATTTTAGGCAATAAACATTTTATGCCAATTTTCCCCTTAGTTGATACACTCTGACCAGCCACAGCTGTAGTAAATTAGCTGCAAATATACTCTGAATCAATCAAGAAATAATGGCCCATCATTCCTGTTTCTAAAAACATGTTTCTTCAAATGTTGCTCTGTCGGGGGACTCTCTGGACTCGTTGACATTTTTTGGTTCTGCTGATACTGGCTTCCTGGAAATCTCGGAACAGGGCGCCACAGAGGAGCCCGAGTGAGCAGGGCGGAGCGGGAGACGTGTCTGTTCGCGGCTGTGCTGGTGAGCCGGGGCAGTATGCCTCTGGTTCCTTAGCGGGAATATAATTTCTTCAAAATCTAAGCAAGAGTTGAAAACCAAATTGAATCTTCCAGTTAAGTAATTTTTTTTTTTCTTATTTTCCTTTAGCTTACAGATATCTCTTCAAATAGGAAACCCAAATGCCTGTATGTATGTCTTTTTATACTTGGTCTGTTTGGTCATGTTTGCATGTTTTCCTGTTGCATTTTATATGACATCGATAATATAAATGGACTTGAGGGTCTCAGGTAAACAGTTGCCCGCTTATGTACTTAACTTTCTAAAATGTGGGTGTGACTTTTAGCTATGCTAGTTGTCTAGTAGTATATGGCAGTATGATAGTACTGTAGGAGTATTTATATGCTGTTACATAGTATAAGTTTCTCTTATAGCACTGTAGTATAGCCATAAGAGCTCTATATTACTATCATTGTAGTAGTGGACCGTATTACATATGTACATTTATACTGTGAATCAAATACTTTATAATAGCTGTACTACAGATTTGTCTGAGTCCCCTAGGAGTCACTTAAAGACTCCTGAGATATGGGTTCTGCTCCCATCTTCTCCGTTGAACAACTGTATGTGTTGTCCTGGGCCGTCATGTACATTTTATGTTCCTCAGTTCTTAGCACTGGTAAATAGGACTAGTCCTGTCTCTCTGAGGATGGCGTATCCTGAGATCACTTCATGAAGGTCACTGGAATTTTGGAAGAAAAATTCCAATGTGTGTCATTTGTCTTCTGGCAGCGTTGTCGCTGCTGTAGCTTGGGGGTGGGGGTGATTGTGTGACTGTTCTTCTAAGGTGTTAAAGACATTTTCTGCTCATCTCTGTCCTCCCGCCCGACCATCTGTAGAAGCCGAGGGCACCCACATTCGGCGTGTAACCATCCCGATCTCAAGACGCACTTCCATCCAAAGGGAAGGAGCTACCTGAAAAAAGCCAGGGATGACAGAGCCGCCATGCAGCCCTCTAAGTCCATTCACGAACAGGCCGAGACCCCGAGAGAGCTCTGCAGACTGCCGAAGAAAGGGGAGCCTCTGGGGTTCAGTCGGAAAGGCAACCTCAGGCCCAAAATGGCCAAAAAGAAACCAGCATCGCTCGTGAACATCATCTAAAAGGCTGAGTGGCCTGAACCATCATTGCTGGACTTTGGGGAATGTTGTGCTAGGGGCCAACAGTAACGTCCTTTGGGACACATCTCCTAGGAAGATGTAGTGGGAAAGCAAGGGGAGTGACACGTTTACTTTCTGTTCATGCAAGTGCGTGGATTAACCAGAATTTAACAAACGGGAATCTCAGTGAGCCAGAATTTGGTGACAGCCCCTTGCAGAAGCAAGAGGCAAGTTACAGACAGAATTAAAAAAAAGAAAGCAGTCTTTCCCAAAATTTTAGTAAAACAAAGCTCCAACTTTTAAATTCTTCAGTACTTTCTGCATCTGGTATTCTGTGCAGTGGTGATTAATTCTCAGACCCAAGGCCACCCAAGATGTCAGGTGCTGGAAAAGATTCATCTGTGTCCACTGCTCAAACGTGTGAGACAAGGAATGGGAATATAAATTCTCTTAATAGCAATGAAATAAAAACACGTCTGCTTGTTTTTTAACCTTCCCCTCAGTTCGAAAGCCTCCAAAATAAGAATTACTGTTTCCCAGAGTATTCTGGTTAATCCAGATATCAGTGTTTGGGTGGCTACAGGGACTCATCTGTTCAACTTCAGTTCGCATTTCGGTGGACTGGTTCCCGGTTTGGCTGCCTCCCCCGATGCATGTCTGCTCCCATTTTGGTACACCTCTGCTCTCTGGCTGCGTGTTCTGCGCCCCAGACCGTGCTGCCAGCCTCTCCGTGATAGCTGGTTCTTTGGCTCTGGGTGGGGAGGACATGACACCCATCGGGTGTTCAAGGCCCGAGTGGTTGGATGGCAGCGGAGCGCAGCTGCGGCGTGTGTGAGCCGTCCCGGAGCCGGTCCTGGAGCCGGTCCTGGAGCCGTCCTGGAGCCGTCCCGGAGCCGGTCCTGGAGCCGGTCCTGGAGCCGCCGCAGCCCTTCCCCGGACCGTCCCGGCCGCCCCTGCAGCCTCTGTTAGCTGCAGGCATGGCCTTCTCCTTGCTGGCCTGCTCGTCCACCTCCTGCTGCTCCTCTGCCCTTTCATGACGAAAATAGGCGCTCCTGCCTTTCAACCAGGTCTGTGAGGTGTCACTCTCCACTGCTTTCTAAAGTAGTTTCTGAAATAAACTACGCGTGGGATGGAGTCTGAGACCGTCCCCTCTCCCGCCCTGAAATGGCCTTTGTTTTCGAAAGACCCATCTGTTGAGAATCTCCCGCTTTATGGTTTTCTTCGAGTGCATTTTTATGTTTTTTAAAACTTAGTGTTATCATCAAGTCTGCAGAGTTTACAAGTGCTGACATCCTTCCGGAAACAAGAATAATTATGTCCACGAATATACATATATATATATACACATATACATATATATAGATAACATAAAATATATATGTCAGGTATATTAATTTATTTTTAAATACTCATGGAAAAGGTGTGTGTTTGTGGTGGATGGTTTTTAAACTATGTATATTAGATCATGTAAATTGAATTCTCTCATTTTAAAAGTTAAAACTGTAACCTAATTAACATTAGTAGAATTATGATTGTTATTACAATAAGCATCAGATTAGCAGTGCATTAAAAATAGGTAATAAAGAAGTTACTTAAAAATGACAGTAAATTGAAAAGTGTAACTTATCATATAAAAATTTTTAACCTGTTATAGTGAAAATGTTGATTCTTGAATCTTCACTTTGCCATTTGGCTCATGGGGTGAGTCACTCATGTGGTGGGAAAGAACATCACTGTTCTGGCTGACACTGTAAAAATTGTGATGTTATAATGATTTATGTGGAGAGTTAATCTTCCCCAAGATTATTTATTATTCATGTTGATACCATGGTTGCACTTTAGCCTTTTACATACTAAGAAATTGACTTGTTGGTTGTACTGCATGCTAATTGTCCTGTAAGATGTGTGTGCAATCACAACTTGTTTTTCAAGGTGGTATAACCAGACTTTTTTTCTAATTTATTTAATGGAAGCTACATTTTCAGTTTTATTTACTATGCCTAGAGGGTATGACGGGTCTTTGACTGTGGTACTCAGTGATCTCCAGAAAGCACCATAATGTCATATCTACTCTCTGTACATTACACAAGACAAATGATTTTAAGATTTATTATATTAAAACATTTTACGTTTCAGTGCAAAAGCCTGACCCTCACACAAGGAAATGCACTGTGTACATTGTGCCTCCTTAGACACACACATTTGCTATGGAAACGTGGAAGCTGGCTCACTCCGAGGGGTGTCCATGGGCCATGTCCCACTTGGGTCTGTCTTCTAAATTTTTTTTTGTCCACATGAGAAGTCAACCCTAGAGTTGCTCTTTGGAACCAAAGTTTCTGGGAAAACATGGTCAAGGTTAAACTGAAGAACGGGTCTAATTTGTTTTGTAAGGAAAAGAAATCTTTATTTGAACAGTTCTTTCCTTCTTTTTTTCCCCAAACTAGGTTACAGATTCTTAACTGCAAAATTCAGATTTCTCAGACACTGTTTTCCAGTATTTTGCAGGGTCAGTCAGTTGTCTGGCAGTTGGAATATTCTCTTCTAAGAACTAAAAAAGGAAGTTTTTAGATTATGAAATATTATAATAATAAAGCTATATTTCTGACTAATGTGTTGCTATGTTTTTGTCTAGCAGAAATGTTTCTGGGGAGCCAAGTATGCTGGTCCATTAACAGGGAACAAAATGGTCTTTTATGAATAAACGGTTCATTGTACATATAAGCACCATGATCTCGTACCTATAAGCTTTCTTGAGAACATAGCTTGATCGTTTTTGTTTATCATAATGTCTGTATCTCAGAGTTCTTTTTACATATGTTCACACTAAGAAGTCCTTGTTACAGGCTCATTTGGCACTGTTCTTCCACCTTCCTTCATAACTCTGAGTAATTTTCCTACACTGTATTTTTAAACTTGTCAGTTCTTAGCACAAACCACGAACAGATTTCACAGTATATATCCCAACCTACATATGCTATACATCCTAGTCATTGCAAGACCCAGAGAGTGATCGGGACAGATTATAGAGAGAAGTGTATCGCTGGCGGAATTACTCAACCAGTGGCCTTTTAAGAACCAAGGAATTAGGAAAACTTAGACTCCATTTGTTCAGCATCTATTAGAACTATCAGAACCCTGACCGGTTTGGCTCAGCGGTTGGAGTGTTGGCCTGTGGGCCAGAGAGTCCTGGGTTCAGTTCCCGCTAGGGGCACGTACCAAAAAAAACAACTATTAGGGAGATGACCTCAGTCTGTTCTTATACTTACTTATATTTAAGTTAATGGGTTCACCAGGTCATAATATTTTTGAGAAATAACTATGACATTCTTGATGATCTCTGAACATTAGAAAACATAAATCTCAGTATCTCGATTCTGCTCAGCTGGGATTCTTGAGAAATGAACTTCAGAGATGGCAGGCATGCAGAATCCCAAATACAAGTCATTTCAAATATATAAATTATGGGGAACTCTAAAAATTGAATTCATTTGTGTGGAATTAAGGTGGTGAAATTTATTTCTTTTTGTGTGTGTATATGTGTCCATGTTCTGGATCAATAAAATGGACATATCTGAAAGGGATCTTCAACCTGTAGCCCTATGATACATTAGGGATTTGCGGCCATTATTCTGAGATAGAACTGGGTTTTCCCGTTAGAGTAAACATGCATAGCCTGGCCCTGCTGTCCTGCTCACACTGTAATGGGGACACTGGTGGAGGCAGGTGCCTGGGGTGGTGATTGAGGGCTCTTGTACCAGGTCCTGAGAGAAGAGGAGGTATGATGCTGTCCTCAGATATCCAAAGGGTTGTCGAATGCAAGATCCCTTACTTCGTGCATCTGCAGAAGACATTACTACAATCAGGGAGTGGACGTTCTACAGAGGCAGATGTCAAGTCATTAAAAAAAAAACTTTCTCTAGGTTCAACAAGGAATAGGTCAGCTGGTTGAAAAGTGGGCCCCATGTCTCAGCACTGCTTTTTCTTTATGGTGGATGGGACCCTTATTTGGCTGGGGAATTGGACTGAATTCTTCAAAGTACACATAAGTCTGGGATTCTGTCATAGGTACTGATGTTACATTGTTGCAAATGTTGCCTTCATGAAACTTAGTGCTGACATGACAGATTTTTGGAGATTCTATGTGGGGTTGGGGAGTTGGAAGATGGACGTTTTTTAACCTTGTGCTAAGCACTCTCAACCTTGTGTTAATGCATTCTCGGAATCCTAGCTGGGGGGAGGACCTGGCCCAGGTGTACTGGGTACTTCATTTCCATGTGAATAGTGGTTTGTTATCTTTTGGCTTCAAGGTCTCTTCCCATAAAAAGCAAGAGACAAAGCTAGGGTGCATGCAGTAATGCCATCTCAAGGATATAATTTACTTAAAAACACTTGTAACCTGAGGTACCAATCTGCAAATAAATGGGACTGTGTCCAGAGAACTGGAGCATTTGCTCTCTTGCAAATCTCCCTCTCACTCCAACCAGCATGTGATCGTAGATTCATTGTGTTGCACCAATCCCGGCAGGCCTAGAGTCGGCATTCTATATCACCGACGTGAACTTTATGGAGTGTTCTATAACATGCATCCGCATTTATCCTCATAGATGCTTTTGAAATCGGCAGGGGTAGGGAGGTATCACTTGCTTCTCCCAGCAGGTGCAGAAACAGCAGTTGGGGAAATGGGAGATGTACATCTATCTGGCACTGTTACCTCAGCCAGAACCATGTGCTCCTCAGGAAGCATCTCACCTCACTGAATGTGGTTTCGATGTTTAAAGGAAAGGTGCATTTTTTGTTACAACATGACTCCTGAGTGCGAGCCAGCCATTTCATCTGGTGTTCAGTTGAGTCAACAGCAATTCTGTCCAACACCGGGGGAGAGCTTGGCAATGTTGGACTTAGGAAGGGTGGCGGGTGGCACGTGAGGCTCCTTGGGCATTTTTCAGGTAGTACTAATTACACTGCTCTTGCCTTTCTTCTGACCATGCATGACTTCACCATACTTTATAATGACGGTGGGGCTTATAGTGGCGTGAAGAGTCGTCCAGGGCCCAGGAGCTCCTTCATGACAGAGTGAGAGTGAGAACCAGCATGTTGTCTTCCTGCATCTCAGCTAGTGCTTTTTGTACAACATTGAGCCGCCTCCTTGACAAGCTTCCCAGAACATGGTCCTAAATGTATGCATTTGTCGATTATACAGTGGTTCTCTGTCATAAAATTCAGTTTAATATCTATTCCAATTATTATACCTATTTAATGCAAGCTGCTTTGGGGTGGATAAAGGTCACCACTCTGTCATCTCTAGACACCTACCCCCACCACCAGTTTATCACGGAGTCAAACCAATTTGCCGAGGAATTCCCAAGTTTCAGATCTAAGTCTGTTAGAGTTTAAGGACTCTTCGTTAGAGAGGACTGCATTCACCACAGCCTGATCTATCAGAAGGGAATAGAAAGCTGATGCCATATCTCAGCTCCTCTTTGTTCAAGACAGAGTGGCCATTCCTGGCCTTCTCAGGATGCACCACTTTTTTGTTAACTCCTATTTAAGTCAGCCTGTAACTTGACACCACAGCTAAAATCTCTTATGTAATCCTAAGGCTGCTGGAGGGAACCGGGAGTCATACAGTGAGGGTCACCCTGGCATAAACAAAAGGGCTCAAAGTGGGATAAGGGTGAATGG